AGAGAGAAATTTAATAATTCATCATAAAATCCTCATAGTGGTGCTAAGAAGAGCAGTGAGAGCTATAAGCTCTAGATAAATTGCTCTCTTTGCAGGAATTTCCAATTAGTCTAAGTATCAAGCACGCACATGGTGAACTCTCAGAATTTCCCTAGAGGCGTATTCTGTGTAAATCGGGATGGTGATAGAACTTTCTACATTTTGTTGTTGTTGTTGTTAGAACTGCAGTACCAGTCTACCTTACAATATTGTTATTTCACACTTACATTACTTGATTGCCAGAATATTATTTGGTGATGATGGTCTAAGGGTAGAAAGAGGAAAGATGATACTGATCAAAAAGAAAACCCATTAAATTTAAACAACTAAGGTAAATTTGAAATAAAATACATAGAAAAAAACATTTTTTCAGTATGTTGGTTGGTTAAGAAGAGAAACCAGATTTAAGATCCAAGGGGAGTATCAAAGCAAAATGAAAAATCTTTCACAGTACAGTCAACTGATTAGCTCATATTATATCTAGTCATAGTGAATTTTAGGTATGCTAACTAAATAAAGGTATCTTTAAAGTTATTACTATGGAAGTTTAAAAAGAAGTATTGTCTCACTATGTAAACATCAAAACTTTCACTATCTGGAACTTTGGAAGAATCATTAGGTTAGGGTAGGAACATTTTCTGGATAGTAGAAACCATACGTGTTTTCATTTTATAATTTGCCAGTTTGGTGTCAGCTTATTAATGTTGGCATTTTCATTAGGATGCTGTAGTGGATGGTTTTGTCATTTAAACTTCTTTTGAATTTTAGCTCTGCCATTTACTAGCTGTAATTTATTTGGACACATTGCTTCAAATTTCTGTATCTCAGTTCTCCCATTGTAAAATAAGGCCAAAAGGTACTTGACCGGGATGGCTCAGTTGGTTTAGCATCGTCTGGCAAACTCCAGGTCAGGGTTGTAGACCTCGTCCCTCGTTGGGGCTCCTGAGAGGCTACCTATCGAAGTTTCTTTCCCTCTCTTTCCTCTTCCCTTCCCCTCTTAAAAAAAAAAAAAAAATCACCAGAGCAAGATACATATGAGGATTGAAAAGACTATATAAAAATGCCTAGTATAATGTCTTTGTGGATACAGTAATTTATCATTTTTCATTATTGTCATCTTATCCTAAATTACACATTTTTGACTTCTGAAACAGGAAATGTAGTTAATCAGTTAATCTGTGGATGTCTCAGGAGCATCATTGAAATGTGCTGTGGAGCCTATTGTATGTGTCGTCAACCCTTCCTTTGGCTGGTTTTGAACATTGATGCTTAGTTTGCTTGCACTCTTGCACATCAGTACCCTTTGGGACACTTGTCACCATGCTATGCTAAAATGACTTTTGTCTCAGTGGAATATGTGTTATGAGGAAAATGCTTTCTAAAACCTTGTATATTATTGACATTAGTACTTAGAATAGCTCTGTGATTAACTTGGGCATAACATTTAAGTAACAGGTGATTTTGAAATGAGTCTTATTTTAAGTATGTACTAAGTTAAGTTCTTTTAGAAATATATATATATAAAATATATATATTTATATATATATATGAATGCAGGTAATTCTGAGATTCCAAATCCCACCCAATTCTCACTCTTTTACGCAGAAAACCATGATGTGAATATGATAATAATTGTCAGCAAGTTTACAGTCTTATGGATCAGAAAGTGTTCTCTTCCATTATTTTGTTCCCACTGTAGACATAAGAACTTCAGCCCACCTTTATTGTTTTAGAAAGAAGACTGGATAGAAGATATTAATCAATTGAGTTAGTGTTGAATTCAAGTTAACATGGGTTCTTACTACATAAAAATATCCCATTCTAGAGAAGGGCGAGTTGTTCAATTCAAGATCCACATATATCTGTTTAGTCTCATTTATTCTATCACTGTCCTGCTCGCTCTTTTTTGTCCCCCATGCCATTGAATTGTTGGGGAAAGTGGTTCATTTGTCTTGTATATTAAAGCCCACCAATGAAAACTCACCAGTAAGATACCTAATTAGTAGTCAAAGTTCATTTATTAATTTGTTACAGTAAGGGAGAAACCATACTGTAGGGAATCACATGGTGCCTCAGAAGGGATGGTTCAGAAAGGGTACTTACAGAGTTTGTGACACTGGAGGTACTTAGTCATCAGTCTTGACAGGGATTGGGCAGAGGTTTTAAACTAGAGAGTCACTGGAACAGTAAATGATTCTATCTTTAGAACATATACACTGTAACTCCTTGAGATATTATAATTTTTACTTTAAACAGATCTATGTTTTTTGAATAAAAAGTAGTCTTTTTTATTTCCTGAGAAAGTTACCATATCTAGTGTTGTCCATTTCTTCCTGAAAAAATGAATTCCATCTGGTATTATTTCTCTTCAGCCTGAGGAACTTCCTTTAGCATTTCTTGTAGAGCAAGAGTATTTTTGCTGGAATCCTAGGTTAACAGTTTTTTATCTTTCATTATTTTAAAGATTGTTCTGCTGTTGTCTAGTCTCCTTAGTTTAAGTAACTAAGTTAGCAGTCATTTCAATTGTTATTTCCATGTATGTAATGTTTATTTTATTCTCTTGCTGCTCTCAGGATTTTCTCTTTATCTTTGGTTTTCAGTGGTTTGACTTTACTAATACACATAATCTATATCTCTGTGCATAACTGGTTTTCTTCATATTTATCCTGTCTGGGATTCTCTGAGCTTCATGAATAAATTTATATCTTTCACCAAACTTGAGGAAACTTTGGCTCTGAATTTTAAAATATTTTTTATATCCCATTTTTTCTTTCTTTTTTGGATTTTAATTACACATACATGAAACCTTTTGATGTTGTTCTACATGTCCCTGATACAGTTTGTGAGTTTTTTGGGGGGGCAGGGCACATTCTTTTTCTATAGATTGGATGATTTCCCTTGATCTGACTTCAGGCTCATTGATTTTCCTTTATCTCCATGTTACTGTTAAAGCTATCTAGTGAATTTTTCACTTAATATATTTTTCAGTTCTAAAATTTCAGCTTTATTCTCTTACATGATTCATGTTGTTATTTGGGGGTTTTCCCTGAAATTTTCTATGTTTTTATTCCTTGCAAGCTTGCTTTCCTGTGCATTTTTTAAATATGCTTTAGAAACCTTGTGTGCTAATTTCACCGTCTGGGTCACCTCAGTATTGGTGTCTTTGTCTTTTTTTCTTAAGATTAGGCCACAATTTGCTGATAACTTGAGGTTTTTTATGTGAAGACTCTATTCTATTACATACATACGTCTGAGGAGTAGTGACTTTTTAGGCAGTTAACTTGATTAGACTTAAATTGCAAATTTTCTCTTAGCTGTTCAAATCTAAGTTTAGTTCTTTGCCTCTTAGCAGGACTCTATTTTGTGCATGTATAGGTACAGTCGTCAGAGATTTGGGAGAGTTTACAACCAGCACTTCGAGCTCCCCTTCTCTGGCTCCCTCCCACCTGGGAGTTCTCTAGCAGCACCTTAGCCTATCTGCAGCTGCAAATAATAAGAGGTAGGGTGCTTTAGAGTGAAATTATATTTTATACATTGATAAATTTATAAAGACTCTCATGTATATTGCATATACTAATCTTGATTTCATGCTAACCATTGTAATAGAAACTTTCCTTGACTTAATTACTTTGTACATCCCCATCTGTATTAAATGGTGTTGAGGTCATTTGTGTACGCAGTCTAATGAAAAGAATACTTAATTGGGTGTCCTTAAGCTAGGTTTCTACTTACGGTTCACCACTAACTATTATAGCATAGGTTATTTAAATGACTTATTTGACCTTCAGTACTCTGATCTTTAAAAAGAAAAAATTGCCCCTGGCCAGGGTGCTCAGTTGGTTGGAGCATTGTCCCATGCACCCAAAGATTGCAGGTTCGATTCCTGGTCAGGGCACATACCTAGGTGCAGACTCAATTCTCAGTCAAAGTGCGGACAGGAGGCAACTGATTGATGCTTTTCTCTCACATTGACATCTCTCGCTCTCTAAAAATTAATAAACATATCCTCAAGTGAGGATTAAAAAAGAAGAACAAATTGTAGCAGATACTTGTAACATCCTTTCTGGCATTCAAATTAAAATTTTTTCCTGGTTGTATTCAGTTTTAGGGACTGAGCACAGTTTTTCTCTAATTTCTCATGTCTTTTCATTTTATTTTCTTCTATTTCATTTTGTTTTTGTAATTTTATTACTATACACCATACTGAAAACCACTTAAATATGCAACTTTCATAAACCATAAACCACTAAGATACATAAGTCCAATAAAATACTTGAAAGGCAGTTCTATGTAAACATAATCAATTCAGCATTTTTCAAAAATTCCTAAAATTTGTTTTAATAGATGGATATTGAAAGACATTTTATTTTAGCATTTAATGTTAATGACTTTATTTTGATCTAAATACTTAGTTCTCTTAAGTGCATATATTTGAAGCCTTGTGCCTAAGATAGATCACATTAAGACTTGATTGCTATAGCATATTGTATTTTCATGCAGAGTATTTCTATCTCTGAGTGAACATTATTATAAGAATATTGGATATTTCATTCTTACTTTATATAGAAACATTGGATAATTATATTCAGTTTATACAAAGTTTCTCGTATAAGTGTTTCCTCTGTTCACTTGTTTTTATTTCCTAATAATGTCATAATTCTCTTTTATGGTAGATATAAGTATCCCTCACTGAGACCAAGTTGAACAAAGTTATCTGACATCAGTTATTAACTTTTGTTCCTCACAATCTTTAGAATGAAATACTTTATTTTGCCTACTATGTCCTTTTCATTATTTGCTCACTGTTCAGAATATTTTCTACTAATATGTATTCTTTATACATTATATGAAACCATTTAAGGATTTTTTAGATTCTTAAGTTATTGATTATATCTGTGCCTATTGACTAAGAAAACTAAGGTGGTCAAAGTTAACAAAGCTTTTTTTGGTATATTTTATAGGTGACCCTTGCAGACAGAAAAAGTAAACTGTCCAAGAATTGATACCATTTGGTACTTGTTATTTGGACCAGCTTAAAGAGTTTGATTTATAGGATCAACTGGCAACAGAAAATGAAAAGTAGTGTGGCACAGATAAAAGTAAGTGTTTGAAACTTGTAATAAAAAAAAAATGAACTAGTAGTTAATTGCCTATCCTTTAAACAAAAATGCATTTATACAATTTAGACATTGGAAGCAGATGGTTTAGTGGCATCATACACACAATTAACCTATGCAATTTCAAATGTAGAAACTTGGTCAAATGGTAGTAACAGTGTTCAAAAGGACAGGTGAGAGAACATACGGCTGGGGGGGATGCGGGGGTGTGTGTGTGTGTGTGTGTGTGTGTACGTACGTGTGTACATTAGTGCCTGCACGAATCAACAAAATGCATGTGAGTGGGCACATGAAAAGAAAAATAGTAACAGAGCAGGAAATTGCACCATCCTTAAAGAACATGCCTTCTTGAATGAGCCTGAAAAGAATTGTGCCCTCAGTTGGTCACAGTTCCTGCATGCCTGTCTACAGGTGAGCTTTCTCTTGCATATTTCATATGCATAAGTGAACTCTTTATCATGTGCTGTCCTTCAGATAATATACATTCATTCAACAAATATTTGCTGAATTCTTACGGTGTCTCAGTGACTGTTCTAATTACTTTGAGTAAAAGGGTGAACAAAACAGGAATCCTTGTTCTCATGGAGTTTGTATTTTAGTGGGGAGAGACAGAAAATAAATCATAAACTTAAAACATAATTATGTTAGAGCGTTAAGGGCTAGACTTGTGCTATGAAGAAAAGAAATGGGGTAAAGTTGATCAGTAGCATTAGAAGTGGCCATTTTTAATAGGGAAGGCCCATTGGAAAGGTAGCCATTTAAGCAGAGACTTGAAGGATATGAGGAAGTTAGCCATGCAGATGTCTGGGGCAAGTGTATGCCAGGCAGAGAGAACAATAAGGTCAAATGCAAAGGAGTCTAGCGTGGCTGGAGCAGTTTGTGAAAAAGGGAGCACGGTGGGAGATGAGAGCAGAGCAGTAGCAGGTCGGTAAGCTGAACTGCGTTCAGAGCTATTTCTCTGCTCTGGGTGGACTCGGTGGGAGAGCAAACCATTCCACTTCCTTTTCTTTTCAACTTCATGGACCTACATACAAGCAGATACATAGTTTCCTGGGTCTCCGTTATTAAGGGGGAAAGTGTATTTTGTTTAATTATAAATCTAGGCACTTCTTTCCTCTCCTCCATGAGCTCTGCACCCATAAACCCCCTTCTCTAAAAAGAACCAGTGGATTGTGATCTCCTTAACAGCAGATAGCAGGTCGACGACCTGGTGCATGGTAAGTGCTTAATAAGCTGAATTGATAGACTTACCGACTGAGGCAGGCTGTGCTGTCATCATTTCTATGTTCTTAACGCCATGAGAAGACACATTCTCCAGACTCCCTGCTAGGCAGACATCCCACCTCTGCTTACATATCTCCCTTGGCAGGAGGCTCACCATCTCTAAAGCTACCCCATCTGTCAGTAGATAACTTGTATGTGGTTCTGAAATCTTCCTCTTTGGGACTTGTACTCATTGGTCCACTGGCACTCAAACAGTTAATTAATTATGGGCCTAGTAATAAGTGGCAGATTGTATTAGGCACTGGGACGTAAGAAGATCTTGTGTGGAACTTACTCTTGACTAAGCTATGTTAGATTAGGGCACTCAGATTTAGACTGATACCTTTTATACAGAGAAGGACTGTTTAGTCGCTCTTAGAGTCATTCTTCCATTCCTCTTTGACTGTGCTTCTCCATCTTTCCCTCTTGTGTTCCTCATGGGTACTCTGTGATATCCCCTCAGCCTAGGAGTGGGTGTCCAGTCAGCAAATCCTTTACACTTAATAGTGGCTTGGACCTCCTAGTCTGTTCTGTTTCTTTTATTTATTTATTTTTTAAATATTAATTTGAGAGAGAGAAAGAGAAACATTGCTTTGTTGGTCCACTTATTTATGCATTTATTGGTTGTGTCTTGTATGTGCCCTGACTGGGGATCGAACCTGCAACCTTGGTATATTGGGATGATGCTCTAACCACCTGAGCCGGTCGCCCAGGGCCCAGTTCTCAGTTAGTCTACCTGCCTCTCTCTATTTTGCTAGCCACAAGCAGGTCCACTCTCTAGGTTAGACCCAGTCTTAGCTCTGGTGAAGGTCAGATCTTCCCTTGATATTCAGAGGACTCATCTGTTAGGTTCAAGAGGTCTGAGCGGAGGATCTCTTGTTTTTCCATTGAGTCTCACTGTGGCTTCCTTGGGTAGCTGGAAGCAAGCTCCCCTACTCCTTCAGCTGCTCCTTTCCCTTACTCTTGAAGATTTGCTCCCTTTCCTGAGCCTAATGGATGCCGGGAGCCTCTGTACCCAGGCTCCCTGCTTCACTCACCTCCTTGCACTGCTCTCTCTGCTTTTAGAGACTGCAAGTGATTGCATGGTGTAGCATATTTGTATTGCTAGATGAACAATTTAGAGACTTTTTAAAGGTAATTTTGACAATATGTTATTTTCAATTACAGCTCTAACTTACAATCTAAACTCTATGATAAAGGAAATTGGGAAATTCTGGTTATTATTATTTTAATCATACCTCAAAATTATTTTTCACTTCGTGAAATCCTGTTCAGCAACTAAAGCCCAGTACAGGTCCCCCTTACCCACTGCCATCCCTCAAGCCTCTGTGCCATAGTGATGGTGCTATACTCAGGATTTCCTGCTGGCACTTACTACGTGTGCCAGTCATGTGCTAACTTGATCGTATTTACAAAATCCTGATTCACGACTTCAATATTTTTGGTTTCTTTTTCTTGCTCAGAACAGATGTTGTAGAGATGTGTTAAAGATCATTAGCACAGAATTGAGGCCATCTCCCTAATATAATCAAAATAATTGCCCTGCCTTGTTAAAAAAAAAAAAAAAAAGTAGATTTTGCAGTTTTATTGTCTTTCTCCTCCTCCTCTTTTCCTCTTCCTCCTCCTCTTTTTTCTTCTCCCTTTTTCTTCTTTTTTCTTTCTCTTCTTCTCCCCTTCCCCTCTCCCTCCCCCTCCCTCTCCTTCTTCTTTCTCTCTCTCTCTTTCTGTAACATAGAATCTGATATGTTTAATTGTGGAAATCTTTATAACCATCTTTTTCCTATAAGATCATAAATTCCTTGAGGGTTTTTCCTACCTTTTGTATCCTTCTGAGTGTCTACACAGGAAGGGCATTGTCTTGTAGTAAATCATCAGTAAGTACTATGTTTGATATTACCATGAATTGAATGAATCTTGTGCTCCATATTTGGCTTAAAATATTGAAGTTGGGTTTATAGAAACCTATATATACATGTTGGACATTTCCACTTCATTGTGTTGCTAAGTGAAATAATTTTAAAACTTTCTTATGCATATTAGAAACGGTTTTAAGATGAGTACATTGAGTATAAAGTAACAGTCTATGGCTACTGTAAATTGTAAATTTGATCACATGCTTATTCAGTTACATAAGTGAGTCTGGTTTATGTATACTATTTAAAAAATTCAGGAGTTAATGAGACTGTTTGGGAATTTACTTGTGATAATGTTAGACTCAAACTTCTGTTAATTAGATAATCATAAAATAAGAGGAAGTTTGAACAGTTTACATTTCTATGCAGTATAATTTTCTATTTTTAAGTGTGCCTTTTTCCCACTAGGGAGGCAAGGATATAAGTATACAAAACAAGTTACTCATTGTTTGTTTTACTTTTTCTTAGATTTTAAGATTAAGATACTTTACAAAATGAACTGTTTTTCTTAGGTCAATTAAAATTACTTTAATTTTTAAAAAAATGCTTATCAATATAAATGTCGACCAGTGGTATAAAAAAATGACCTATTTATAGAGATAAATATTTTGGCTTCTTAAATGTATTTGGATTTTTAAGTTAGAGTGTGTTCCCAAACTAGATGGTTCATGTCTCTGTCTCATGTGACATGTCTTCAATCTCATGTTATATTGAAGTTATTTATATGTCTGTTCTTTTTCAAAGGATTTAACATAGGAGCTATAAGAGCCATATCTTTGAAGTCAACTTTTTCAAATTCTTAGAACTAATGTAGTGCCATACATATCGGATACTCAAATGATGTTTGCGGAAAACAAAAATGAATTTCATAAATATATTAAAGTTTGTATTTTCTAGACACTTATTTTATCTAGATTCTTTAACCTGGGCTAAAGTTGTGGTTATTATAAGCCTAAGGAACTAAGGAGATAAGTTCAGTACTAAGATTTGCGCATAACCACAAAAGTGAGCTCTAGCTAGAAAACACCTGGCCCTTAGTCATATATTTCCAAAAGAAAGCTTTGATCTTGTTTCAACAAGAGATATCTTTATAAAAATGGTGTTCTGTAAGTTTATAATTTATATAAACTTAACAAATAAAATATCTTCTAAGTAGCATTGAAAATTTGAAAAATATTTTCAGCTACCTTAAAATTTTTTGGTTAAAAAGGGTATTTGCTCCACTGTGAAAACAAATTTTTAAAAAATACTTTGAAGTAATTTCTAAAGCACTGCCAATTGTCTGTATTTCATTGCCTATGTGTTTTTTAACATAATTTTTAAAATGTTTTATATTCTTTTCCTTTTGAAAGCATTCTTCAGGTCATGACAGAAGGGAACACAGTAATTCTTATCAGAGGACCATCTCTCCAGAGGATAGGTAAACAGTTTCATGTGTTATGAATTCAAATTAAATATTTTATAAGTTTAAGAAATTACTTAGCTCTTAGGTTTCTAATTTTAGTGTGAACTACTTTTTTTTATGGTTTTATAAAGAATATTACTTGAGTGGGCTTGAGGACAAATCATTCTTGATTAACTGTCTAGGACTTTATCTAGTAAATCTAAATTTTAAGTAATTTTTTAGGTGAATGTAAAGAACTATAATATCTTCAATACTAAATACAATGAGTCTATAAAATGGAAAATTGAGTTGAAATCACATTATTTTGAGATGTTGCTTTTACTGTTACTACTATCCTTTACATTTACATAGTTCTTCATACTTTTTAAAATATTTTTTGTGTCATCATAGTCATGTTAAGATCAAAGATCCAGAAATATCACCATTATATTCATCATGCATTCATATGGGATTTCAGTTATTTCACTTAGTAAACTGTGACCATTAAAAATAATTTATGAAGGGAAAAGCAATAAACTTTCTTTTGTTTCTCTAATCTCTTCCTCACTTCATATGCACTTTCTTCTTACTCTACTCTTTTGTCTCTGAAAACCTTTGCTTAATGTATAAATTAATTGCCATGGTTTGCAGCTACTTACTATCTTCCATCAATTACCTACCGCCTATTTTAAAAAAATCTCTACACACACACACACACACACACACGGGTGTGTGTGTGTATCTAAATTAATTATAGATGTGTATAGAAAATATGGATTATGTTACTATATATTTATTATGTGGGTGTGTATTTAACCTCTCTTGATGTTCTCTGATTTTACTGACTTTTGAGATTCAAATAGCAAATCTTAAACTATTCATCCTTGCTTGCTTGTCATTTCAATTCATTGTCACTGCTATCCAAAAATGCAGTTTGAAGAGTAATAGCTAATAAAGTATTTTGGAGTGGAGTTAAACTGGTCTTTATAGAAACCACTTGATGGCATTGGTCCCATTTGTTCAGTGTTTGGATAAAGTAAATAGATACAGACTAAGCAAAAGAAGTCATTTGCAGAATAGTCTTCATGCTAACTATATACAATATCTGGATAAATGTCTTTTACTGAAGACAGTGTGAATCAGGAAGACCAGTTTGGTTAAGAGAGTTCCAGTGGTGGGTTTTTTGTGCACAAACTGAACTCTTTCATAATCAAGACTGAATGAATGGGTGTCAAAAATGAGCTGTTAAACTGTCAAAAACAATTTGTTAAGACATTTTTTAGTCATAGAGTTGCTTTACATTACCAGTGTATGACTTTCATAAATATAATGGAGTTGCTTTCAACTTTGGTTTTCTTATTTTCTGTATTAGATATGCAGAACAAGAAAGATCCCCTCGGGATAGAGATTACTTTGATTACAGCAGGTCAGACTATGAGCGTTCAAGAAGAGGACGTTCTTATGATGGTAGCATGGAGTCACGGTTAGTATTGGAATTAACTATAGAAAAAGTGTATTTGGCCCTGGACACATAGCTCAGTTGTTTAGAGTGCTGTCCCAATACGTCAAGGTTGTGGATTTGATCTCTGGTCAGGGCACATACAAGAAGCAACCAATGAATTCATAAATAAATGGAACAGCAAATCAGTGTTTCTCTCCCTCCCTTTCTCTCTAATAATCAGTAAATTTAAAACATATCTATATAATGATAAAATGAAACTGTTTTTACTTACTGTATTTACGTAACTCATGGTTGCGCAGAGCATGAGCAGAATAATCTAAGTTTCCAAAGCAGTATATATAAAAAACAGCTAAGTGGACAAACTTTTCTCTAGGGAAAAGTAACAAAAAGCAAGGATTTACCCTTTCCTGTTAGTTCTTGATGGTTCCAGAAAACAATATTCTGATTATTTTAATAGTATTAGCTTAAGAAAGGATATTCTGAGATTTCTAATAAAAATACCAGTTGTATCAAGGATAATTTCAAATGTTACATTTTTTTTACAACAGTTTTCCTCTTAAATTGTCATTATTTGAAATAAACTCTGGTTTCTCTTTTATATAGTTCATAATCTATATCACAGGCCAATTTGTCTTCTTAAAACACTATTTTCATGTCACTATCCCACTCAAAAACTATATTAAAAAGTTAGTGTGTTGCTTGTCTTTTAAGATTTCATTGTGACTTGAACTCATCCTCTCAAACTGCCATTACATATGATTCTTTATTGTTTCCATACTGTTCTTTTCATTCTAGCCTGAACACACTTCCTCAGTTTTTCAGTTGTTATTACTACTTGCAGAAAGCCAGTCTCCCTTCTCTTTCCCTCCTCCCCTTCCTGCCCTCACAAATTCTGTCAAGCGTTGGAGACCTAATTTAGTTACATTTTCTCTGTGAAGCACTTTCTTACCATTCCAAGCCACTCTTCCTTGTCTGGATTTCTGAGGCCCACTTACAGTCTCACTGATTTGGTATACAGAAATACATTTAAGAATGTATTTCATATTGTCTTTTCTCCATTTTCAAAAATTTAATGTTACAGAAGTAGGGACCGAGAAAAACGCAGAGAGAGAGAAAGAGATTTTGATCGGAAAAGGTCCCGGAAATCCCAATCGCCTGGGAGAAGAAGCCCAGAACCATCGATAACCCAGAGTTCTTCTGCTCAGGATGAACCAACTGCAAAGAAGAAGAAAGATGAACTGGATCCTCTCCTTACTCGTACTGGTGGAGCATATATTCCTCCTGCAAAGCTCAGGATGATGCAAGAACAGATTACAGATAAAAACAGGCATGTTGATATCACTAAGTATTCGAGGGAAAGATACCCTGATTGGGGGGAAAAAAAATCAACTATGGTCTAATTATCCTTGACTGTTGAGAATTTACATTAGTCCACAGTGATAACAGAGCCCTCAAATTAAACTTCTTTCCTTTTTTACTCTATAAGCTCCCTTGAAGCTTTCATACTATTCGCCCTGGCATTAGCTCATGACTTCTTTATTTTTTTATATGTATGAATTTAAAAATTTGAGGAAAGATCACTTAGCTATTTTTACATTATTTCTTTCATAGTTGCATGCTTGCATATAAGTAGTGTCAGTTTTCCTTGATAATAAAAGAGTATTGATATTTTTGACCTAAAATAAATCTTTTCAGTTTTACCAAACCAGAAGTTGGTATACTTTTTCTGAAAGAGGCCAGATACATAAACACTTAAGGCTTTGTTCACTATTCTGTCTCTGTTGCAGCTACTCAATTCTGTTGGGATTACAGCCATAGATAATATATAAACAGATGAGTAGCTTTGTTCCAAAAAAGCTTTATTTATAGAAACAGACTATGGGCTGCATTTGGCTCATAGTCATAGTTTGCCAACCCCTGGTCTAATCCATGAAACTACATAGACAGTTTTCTCTTTTCTTTCCTTTTCTTAGGCCATAACATCTTAGACTATAATGTTTTGCTACATTAAGGCAAAGAATCAAAATTCATATATGAATACTCACACTCAAAATACCTTTCCTTCCCTTTTCAAAATAATTGGGATGTTGAGGCATGATATAGGAAAGTATAGCTAAGTTTTCAAGATGATTTTCTGTAATGGAAAGAGATAATGTCTCGGTAAAGTATGGTTCAAGATTGAATTGGTCACTCAGTTGCCAGGTATTTAGTTAAAAGATTGGGTTAGAAGATAGCTGTACTTTAAGAAAAACGGATTCTAAGTGGGCCAAAAAAGTGTTCCTAAATCTTTCATGGGTATTTTAATGGCAACTTGAAAGTACTTGAGAACTTTATATAAACAAATTTGTTTCAGGAAAGAACCTAAAGTAGAAATGTCATGTAAAGTGCAAAGATTTGAAGTAAATTAAAATATGTGCTAGAAAAGGACATTAGATGACATTAAATTTAAAACTGGTAAGTTTCTCTTTATGTGTCACATTCCAACATTTGGTAGTGATGCTTTGAATTTTACTTTGAGAAGAGATTTGGAGATGGCTTTTGTGGTTCATGGGAGCTTCATGATCATGTAGGCTTGTAGCTCTTGTAAAAAGCAGTAGTGGCAACATTAATAAGTATTTACTGTCTCAAATACAGTCCTAAGCAATCCCAATTGTAAAAGACCAGAAACGGTGTTGTTAAACCAAGTTTTTTTTATGAATAAAGTGGTCAGAGGCAGCAGTATATGAAATTTTAAGTAGATTCCTCAAAGATAAGGTTATTAGGTCTACCACCACTTCTTGTTATTTAATATGCTAAGAAGCACAGAGAATACTATATCAACTTTTGTTCTTTTCATGTTTTAAAAACTATTTCTGTATGATTGCTATTCTTTGTAAACCTAAGTATTAGTATATGTTATTCCAAGAAGTCTGTCAGCTTCATCAGAGAGCTTTATGTAAGAAAAAAAAAATTAAGACTGCATCTGAAATCATATTTCACAGAGAAATAGTTATAAAAACCATAGAATTTTGAGCTTTAAAATTAAAAGACTTCCTCCATCATCACATTCAACCAAAGAAAACCAATTAGGCTAAAGAGTTTACCTAAAATCTTAGTTTAAAAAGAGCACATAACTCAACATTCAGCAGGTATAGGTGTGGAATTACTGCATAAATGTAGAGATGTTCATTAAGATACTTAGGACAGTCTTTCAGCCTCATGATTTCTCATGGCTTTCCCTTTTTCCTATAATTATTATTTCTTTATATTGTAGTTTAAAACATTTTTTTCTGTCATGCTTTTACAAAAAAGGACATAAAAATTTCCTTTTTTAGGCTTATATGTGGGTGTTTCAGGTAATAATTTAAAATAAAAAAAATCTTTTAAAATGTTTTCTTTAGAGACAAGCTTGAATGAAGTGTTATAATGTAAAATAAACATGTATTGAATCTGGCTGATGAATTAAATGTTGTAAATTACAATATTCATGATCATGATCAAAGGACAAAAGATTATCCTTAAATATCCTTAATATTCATGTTAATTAAAGGGAAGGAGTCTGTATATAAGCGTATGTACATAAAAATCAAATAGCTTAGGATGTATTTGTGTTCATTTAGTAATATTTTACTGCATTTTGGGATCATTGTGTGAAAATCATGTTAAAAATAAAGGAACTAAGTATTTTTCATGTTCTTATTATAACCTCTTGTTATTTTGATTGTTGACTAAGTTTTAATCTTTATTAAAATATATTCTTTTCAGCTTAGCATACCAGAGGATGAGCTGGGAAGCACTAAAGAAGTCAATCAATGGTCTTATTAATAAAGTCAACATTTCCAATATAGGTATTATTATTCAAGAACTTCTTCAAGAAAATATAGTTAGAGGAAGGTAAGCATCAGCTATTTTATTTTTGGTATTTCATAGTAGTTTTTTATTTTTTATTTCATTATTTTTTGAAGTATATTTTATTGATGCTATTACAGCTGAATTCTTTCCGCTTTGCCCCCGTCCACCCCGCACCTCCCTCCCTCCAGCATCCTCACCCCCATAGTTCATGTCTGTGGGTCGTGTATATAAGTACTTCAGCTTCTCCATTTCCTACACTATTCTTAACGCCCCCTGTCTATTTTGTACATACCAGCTAGGCTTCTTAATCCCTATACCTTTTTTTCCATATTCCCCCTTCTTCCTCCCCACTGATAACCCTCCAGATGATCTTCATGTCTATGATTCTGTTCCTGCTCTGGTTGGTTGGTTAATTTGTTTTTGTTTTTTAGATTCAGTTGTTGACGGTTATGAGTTTGTTGTCATTTTAATGTTCATAGTTTTGATCTTCTTTCTCTTAAATTAAGTCCCTTTAACATTACATGTAATAAAGTCTTGATGGTGATGACCTCCTTTAACTTTACCTTGTCTGGGAAGCACTTCATCTGTCCTTCAATGCTAAATGATAGATATGCTGAATAGAGTAATCTAGGTTGTAGGCCCTTGCTTTTCATCACTTTGAATACTTCTTGCCAGTCCTTTCTTGCCTTCGAAGTTTCTTTTGAGAAATCAGCTGATAGTCTAATGGGAACTCCTTTGTAGGTAACTCTCTTCTTTTCTCTTGCTGCTTTTGAGATTCTCTCTTTATCTTTAGCCTTTGGCAATTTAATTATGATGCGTCTTGGTGTGGCCTTCTTTGGGACCACTTCTTTGTGCTTCCTGGATTTGTATGTCTTTTTCCTTCACCAAATTAGGGAAGTTGTCTGTCGTTATTTTTTCAAATAAGTTTCAATTTCATGCTCTTCCTTTTCTCCTTCTGACATCCCTGTGATTTGGATGTTGGTATTTTTGGATATGTCCCAGAGTCTTCTTATTCTCTCTTCGGTTTTTTTTTGAATTTTTGTTTCTTTATTCTGTTCCGATTGATTGTTCATTTCTTCTTTATGTTCCAAATCGTTGATTTGAATCCTGGCTACCTTCCCTTCACTGTTGATTCCCTGTGGATTTTTCTTTATTTCACTTAGTGTAGCTTTCATTTCCTCCCTTTGCTTTTGCTGTACTCAGTGAGTTGAGCAGCTTTATCACCAGTGATTTGAACTCTACCTCCAATTCTGGAGCTTTGTTCTGTTCTTTCATTAGGGCCATATTTCTTTGTCTTCTCAATTTGGCAGCCTCCCTGTGTTTGTTTCTGTGTATTAGGTAGAGCTGCTTTGGCTCCCTTCTTGGCACACCTGTTCAGTTGTATGGGGCGGAGCCTTATGTATTCGCAAGGGTGGACAACCTGCTTCATTGCTTTATGGCTCTATATGTGGGGGAGGGATGGAAGAAGGGACAGTGCCATTGCGTGGCTGCTGGAGGCTTGCTGCACACTCGCCCTGTTTCCAGTCACTTCACTCACTTCCCATATGCGACCAGTACCCTTCTAGCTGTTGCACTGGTGGTTGTTCCCAGAGTAGATGGGTTTGTGTAGGTTTTGGGACTGTATGGGCCCTTTAAATGGACTCTCCTGAGAGACCAGCAGTTTCTTCTGCTGCCCCCCACCCTGCCCCCAAGGTTTTTACAGCCAGAAGTTATGGGGCTTTATTTTATTTTATTTTTTTGGTGCTGGAACCCTGGGCTTTGCAGTCTTGCCTGCGGCTGAGAGCATTTGCTCCCCAGGTGTCCCTCTTAATTTTTATCCACCACACGTGGATGTGGGACCGCCCACTCACCAGCAGCTGCCACTGCCTTGCTGTCACCGCACCTCATCCTCTCCACCTTGGCTCCCCGGCCCCACCCCTCCTACCGTCTGGATGAATGTGACTTATTTAAATCCTTGATGTGGGACTTCCATAAAATTGGATTTTCTGGCATTTCTGGGTGTTTTTTGTTTTGAGCTGAGTTTTGATCCTTCAGCTTATGGTTTTGATCCTTCAAAACTCATGGTTTTGTAAGGAGGCGAAGCATGTCTACCTATGCCTCCATCTTGATCGTAAATCTTCATAGTAATTTTTTAAAGGAACATAATACCTACATGAATAATAATCATTGATTTCTTATGCTACTTATTTTAAAGGTAGTTGAGAATATTTAAAATGCAGTTTTTATAATAAAAATGTAAGTTATTAACGGGTAACCTGTACTTCACTGTCAGAGGTTGTATGGAGTTTTTGCTTTTGAGAAGCTTTGATGTGTTGTAATGATTTTTGTAGACATTTATTTACTGAATACTTCTAATAACCTAAAATCATGAGGCATAGTGAATATTTATATATTTTTATATGTGTATGTGTGTGTGTATAACCTCAGACCAGTTTAATTTCTGATGAAAGCAAAGTGAGAATGTGAAAGAAATGAGGAAGATGAGTAATTTTAGAAAAGCAGAAGAGAATGACTTAGCATTTTCTTTGTGGTTTTATGTAATTGTGATATTTAAAAGGGTCAAGAAATATAGATATCCTGAATTCATTCTATATATTATGTTAAAATCTGAAGGCTATTGTCTTATGTCATTTCACATGACCCAGATTTCTTATCTCAAAAACAATGGGGATACAACGTAAAGTGTAGCATGCTGTGGGGGTGTACAGAGGTGACTGAGGCAGCCACTGTTTGCAAAAGTAGGTAGAGCTCTTTTATTTTACTGAGAAAGAAGCAGACTCAGAGAAGCTCTGTGGGTTGCTTAAGGTCTTATAATTTATTAGTTGAGTTCTTTTTTCTCATTTTCTACTCTAATGATTTAGTTCTCATACCTAAACGTAAGAACTATTAAGACTGTTTCCCTGCCTTTGGCAGTCCAATAATTGTTTGTCATTATATTGCTAAAAATAACTACTTAACCCACTTCTCTCCTTAACAAATACATATAGAAACGTACTTATTTCAAAATGAATTAAAGTAGAATCTTTTATTTTCCCATTATCATTTCAGCATTATTCCAGCAGCACTTTGATTGTCTTTTATCTTTCATATGAGTATTCTACGTCTTCATTTTTATTTTACTGAAAATAAAGGCTTAAAGATGGGAACCACCCAAATTTGTCTTTAATCACATAATTTTATGTAAAAATAATGGACCAGAAGTGGAAATCTTACATTGTCTAAATGTAGTACTTTTAATGCAGGCCTTTGGTTTTTCACTGTTTTGAAAGGGTTAAATTATTTCTAAGAAGTTTAAAAGACTCGCATTTATGACTTGCTATAACAATCAACCTGGGAAAGAGGAATTGTATTTGAAGAAAAAATTCTGCAGAAAATATTGTGGTAAAATCTGTTTTATAAAAGCACAAATTGAAGTTTATTTTCTCAAAAGCAGTCTTTATTAAGAAGATAAACACTTAAATTTATTCCTGATTTAGCATTTGTGATTATTTACAAAGGAATAATATTGCTGGATTTTAAATGAAGTATTTATTCTTCTAATTAAATTGGTGATTATTGTTGACTTATTGTTTGTTTGTTATTTTTAAACAGAGGCCTGTTATCCAGATCTGTTTTGCAAGCACAAAGTGCTTCTCCAATCTTCACCCATGTTTATGCAGCACTAGTTGCAATTATCAACTCAAAATTTCCGCAGATTGGAGAGTTAATCCTCAAGAGGTTAATTCTTAATTTTCGAAAAGGCTATCGAAGAAATGATAAGGTATATATGATGGGATTATAAGCAGGCTGACACATAAGGACAAACTAAAAAATCAGTATCAACCATAGTGAGCAATGTTGATTTCTTCATAGGAATTATTTTTTAAACGGCACATTTCATGAGAACTTTTCTTTGTTCTATTAAATATCCATGGCCACTAATCATGAGCCACAAAAATGATGGCTATAGCTATAGAAATATAACTATTTTGTCAGAAATGGCGCTCTTTCATATATATTAGTTCTTATTATTTAACTTTAATGTGAAAATTATCCTGTGTTACATATTTTAAGTAGAGTGTGTAAGTAAGCTGTAGATTCTGTAGGATAAATGAAAATTGGTTTTAGTTTATAGATTAACTTTTTTCTATCTTTGCTTTTCAGCAACTTTGTCTGACTGCCTCAAAATTTGTGGCACATCTTATTAACCAAAATGTGGTAAGTAATTATCTTTAAAGCTTGGTGCTTTTTTGTGACATTAGACCACAGCCATATTTCTGTTTTTGTTTTGACTTTATAGTCCTTGGGAAACTTATCTTGGTAATATTTTTTAAAAAAACTATAATAAATACCTTTAATATTCCTTAATATGAGGAAGAACCAGACAGTGTTTTGTCAAATTGATCTCTTAATTCTGTAAATGGTTACTTAACTACAAATCATTTTTTTAGAGAAAGTAATTGAATTTGTTTTTATAAAGCAATAAAGTTGGTATCTCTTTCACTCTTTTTCCCTGTATGTGGTATTCATGAGAAACTAATAGTATCTTATTTTTAAAACCCAAGTTCCTGCAACTATGTTCATAGAATCAGTTTATAAAATATAGTAGATTTTAATTTTAATCAGTTTTAAATACAACTAATTTTATCTTTTTGTTAAGTTTTTGTGTTTATTTTGTATTCAGTCACTATTTGAGAGCTTTGATTCAGCTCTGTTCAACTTGAAAATAGTAAAATTTCTCTTGTTCATATTCAAAGGTTTCTTGCATAACCATATTTATATCTATAAAAGGAGAAATTTTGAAGTCATTTTTAATTTTAATTCACTGACATTAAATATTATTTTATTTCTTTCCTACATAAAAATGTTTCCAGTGTTTATAGTTAGAAACCTTTTAGATTTTACCCTAATTATCCATATTATAACAATGTAACTTGCTGATTAAGACTATAAAAACTTTACATGTCTATATTAGCACAGCTATATGTTTCAGTTTCTTAATGCATTTTACTTATACTGGAGATACTTCCCGGTTGTGGTACAGGGCAGTATTTTCTTCTCACTTATAAGACTGTTTGCTCCTTCCGCAAAAAGGTAGTATGTATTTTTCATCTTGTGCTCAATGTAAAAAAGTTAATTTATTAAAAGTTAAAAGTTACTATATAGTGGTTTTGAACATGCTTGTTCTTTTTCTTTCATAGTAAAGCTTCCCAGTAGAATTTTATTCCCATTCTACCAGACATTGTTTATAAATTTTAATTTTTGAATATGGCCAGTGTAAGTAGTTTGATTTAGTAGGCAGGAAGGAAGAAAGGAAGGAAGAGGGGGAAGAGAAGGCGGGAGGGGGGAGAGAGAGGGAGTGAGGACAGAAGAGGATATATTCAAAACTGTAATTGCATACCAGAAACTAAGATATTTTCTGATAAAATACTTACTTATGTAATTTTTGTAACAGTTGCTGATAGAATGAATTGGAAAATGGATATAAAGATTTGTGCTCATGGAAAATCACTGTTCTTCATATAGTGACTATGAAAATATCTCAGATTAAAAATTAGTCATGATTTTCAACTTACATTTTGAGGTTAATTGCATTTCCTGTAGCTAATGTATATTATATTTTTTACATAATATATAAGAATATTTCTTCTGGAGATGTCAAATTCTTAACAGATGCATAATGAAAGTGAAAATAAATTTTATTTTGTATTTGCAGTATTTTTGAATACATTATAAAACTTTGCTAATCATATATACATTATCACTACAAAAACTATATTTACTTTTAAAATTACTCTCAGTGATGTGTGTGTAAGCATTTTCTCTATTCTGTTACATCTTTATTCTGTTTAAGGCGCATGAAGTTTTATGCTTAGAGATGCTTACCTTGCTCCTGGAAAGACCAACAGATGATAGTGTTGAAGTAGCAATTGGCTTTCTCAAGGAGTGCGGCCTCAAATTAACACAAGTGTCCCCAAGAGGAATCAATGGTAAGTTTATGTGCTTGTTTTGACACTGAGCTTTTGTTTTGACTATTATAATATTTATTGCTTTTCTTTCTGTTTAGCTATATTTGAACGCCTTCGAAACATTCTCCATGAGTCTGAAATTGACAAAAGAGTTCAGTATATGATTGAAGTGATGTTTGCTGTAAGGAAAGATGGCTTCAAGGACCACCCTGTTATCCTAGAAGGACTTGACTTAGTGGAAGAAGATGATCAGTTCACCCACATGCTCCCTCTGGAAGATGACTATAACCCAGAAGACGTTCTTAGTAAGTCAGGGGTGATGATTGGGAAGTAGGGCACTAGCAAATGTAAACATAGAAAATAAACACTTACTTAAACTTTTAATTTATTTTTTTAAGATGTTTTCAAGATGGATCCTAATTTCATGGAGAATGAAGAGAAATACAAAGCTATTAAGAAGGGTATGTAAAATTTTATTAAATAATCTATTTAGATAAGTAGAAGCAATTTTTGTAGTTATATAATACTGATAAAAAGGTATAGATCACTACTGACCAATCCTAATAAAATCTCTGTTCTTATTAAAGCTGTTCTCTTCACTGTTTTTTTGTATGCATTATTTTTTGGTCTAGTGTTGTCCATGGTGTTCCTTCACTCTACATTATTTACATAGTTTTTCCTCTCCTCTTTCCTTGTGTTTCAATTATGCAGCCTTTAAGTTTTATCCCTTTTAAGAAATATTCATGTATTACTAGTGTACTTTATTTGACTTAACTACTGCTTAAAAATACTACTTTAAATGACATCCAATTTAATATTCAATTAAGTGCTATACTTGATTATTCCTTGAGAGCAGGTTGATAGCCTTTTGATAACATCAATCACAGTGCTAGCAATGAGTGCTTAATAAGTTGATAATTATTATTTGTACACCATTAATATATTATAAGCATTAACTTTGGACAGATTGTGGTTTGTATCTTGTCTTTGCCCTTACTAGCTAAGTGACCTGGAATAAGTTACTTGTTTGATGTAAGAGTAAATGTTCTTTGTTTGTATAAAGATAAATAAAATACAGTGCTTTATATTGTCACAGAGCAAGTATTTAAACAATGATACTTTTTCGCATTTTTTCTAAAGCTAATATTCAGGGCTACTTATATAATTATATTTATATAATAAATATATATTTACATATTATAATTATATAATGACTTTATGGGTCTATTTTCCCGAATTGTGGTTTTACCTGAGAAGTACTCAGTGCTTTGAACGCTCCTAGGAAGAGAGAGCAGAGACCTAGAACAATGTCACTGCCTGCCCTCTACTGTAGTCATTCTTAGGAGTGGAATGTTGAAGTGGAAAGTTAGGGTATAAGGTGCATTCCATTTCCATAGATTATTCTAAAAATCTGTACAATAAATTGGATTAGATGCCAGTTTCCTCAGGTTGTGTTAGTGCACCAGCCAGAAACTAAATCTGTTTCTAAACATGGAGAACTCCTTAGACCTGTTTTCTTTTTTTCTTATGAACTTCTTTTTCTAGTCTTCCTAAAACATGCTAAATGGTTCTATGAATTACTTATTATATTTTGTATGATATATTTTTTTTAAACTTGGGAATTCCCCATCCATTTCTTTAGGGCTTAGGCATTTGGCCAGTGCCAGGAAAGAAGCACTGTTCTTGATTGTTGCCCTTAAACTCTTTGGTCTCAAGAGCTCTTGAAAATTACTGAAGACTCCAAAGAACTTTTGTTTATCTGGGTTATAATGATTAATGTTTACTTTATTAGAAATTAAAACTGAGAATATAAAAAATGTTAAAATAACAAAAACTAACCCGGTGCCTGTTAGTATGTAACATTTTTATGAAAATTACTTTACATGGCAGAGAAATTTAATAAGAAGAATGACATGTTTTTATATTCTGTACAATTTAATGTCTGGGTTAATAGGAAACAGTTGGATTCTCAGATTATTTCTGATTTAATCTGTTGTAATAGGTTGTTTTGATTGGAGTATATGAAAAAAAAGTTAGCCTCAAACAAGATACATAGTTCAAAAAGAAAGGAGTATTTTAATAGTCTTTTCAGATAATTGTGTATACTTTTCTTAACACTGTGCCAATATTTAATAGCTAGTAGTTTCTTAAAGATAAATATAATGTGAAACTTCAAAAAATATGCATGAATTTTCATATTCTGTTAAATTACAATTATTTGGCCTGTCATTTTGAATGTATATTTTATTCAGGCATGATTTTGTAACATGTTGCATTGGTCATTTGGAAAATACTGACTCAATAAGTGTGAGTGTTTTCCAAGTGTTAACACATTAACATTGTCAAAATTTAAATTAACACACTAATATAATATCAAGAATTTACATTTATTAATATTATCACCTGTTTTATCAGGAAAATTGAAATATTAGGAAACTGTCAAGCTCTTGAGGATGAATACAAGTTTTCCAAAATTCTAATTTTTTTCTTGAAGACTTTAATTTTATCATAGTGGCAAATATAGCTAATTATTTTCTTTGAAGTGACAGTCTCAGTTTGTTTATATTTGAGTAAATGTGTGCCAAATACCTAACAACTATAGATTGTGAGCTATTCTTTGAAATAAAAATGAACAAAACCTGATTTATATTGCAGCTCCAGTACTTTTCCTTGAGATAACCATCATCTTACATCTGTCTTTAGCGGCAGTTACTCAGACTATTATAAAGGCCTATATTCATGGGCTGAGATCTAATGAAATCAATAGTTTTCTACTTCTTCAAGGACATCCTAAAGTGAAACTGGCTTTTCCCCTACTAACAAGAGGACGGCAGCAGTAAAGAACAGAACTGCTAGTGCAGTTGATGGGTTCATTTGTGCTCTGTTTGCAGCAGTTTTAACTCCCATTGCTTTTGGGCCATCCTTGTAGATGTTAGCACAGGGGAAGGCAGATAATGTCTTCATATTATTACAAAAATAGTTTTAACCTCACAGACCACCTGACAGGTGTCAGTGATCATCCCCCCACCCCTGGGGACTTACAGCCCATACTTTGAAACCACTGCTTTATTCAGTTAATGAAATCCAATTGTCATTGCCTAAGTGAATTGAGTAAGTAGATTCTGAAGTGAACAGATGAGGAGAAGATGATGTAAATGACTAGACAATTCATTTGACCTTCATTCTTTCATAAAATTGTTCTAGAGCTGGCATTAAAGAAAAAAATGGTCACAGCAGGAAGTGGGCACAGCTTTAGTAATTAGCACCTTAGAGTGACTCAGGTGTACTTGTGTTTTAGGTCTGACAGCATTTGGAGAAACAGCAGGAGTACCTGTCTTCCTACTATTGAATACTAAATAGTTTCCTCTTTTAAAAGTCTGGCTAAACCATGTTATGTAATAATAAACTAGACACTTAAGATTATTTCTTGAAGTCATATTTGTTAAAAATATTCTTGAGGAGATTTGTATGTCAGCTAAGGGCTTAATGACAATTTGTAAATGATTCATTCCTCATAGTATGAAGTTCTCTGCTAACGTTAAATACCGTTATACTGCTTAGTAAATAGAAAGACATTAAAAGTTTTCTAAAAATGAATTGGCCCTAAACTTTTTATTAAAAATTCTCTGTTTATAATAGAAATGAAAAAAAAATGAAGCGTTAGCCAGGTTTGTAAAGTCTTTCATCAGGCTAATAGAGTGCACACCACTGGACAAAATATAGTTTTAGTTTTTGTTATTTGTTTACTTATTGATAGGATGACTAGCCTTATATAGTCTCCTATTTACATCACTATTTTCACCCAGTTTTGAGTGTAAGTTGTATTTTAATAAGTAATAATCCAATGACGTGCTCATCTTACCAGTATTCTTAAATGCTTTTAAACTTTGACTTCTGTTTTATGCATAGAAAGTTTTTGGATTGAGTGTAATGTTCTATTTAATAGATATACATTTTAATAAAAATCTCAATGGTGTTTATTTAGAATGAACATGAAATTATGCAGTTATTTCTTTTCTCTTTTTGTCTTTCAAAAAAAACATTCTTAGCCTAAATTCTTGTTTTCTAGATCAAGCCTTTGTAAACAGACTTTTCTTTCTGATGATGAACTAAGATTATTTTGACTCCAACATACCCTTCCTCTTTTGGAAACTTTTATCCCTTCCTTGTTTCATGGTTACTTTTCTGCCTGTCAGAAGAATGACACATGGCTCTTTCTAGTCAAATTAATTATAATGCCCTCTGACCGCTGAGGAAATGACAGGAGGCCTATGTGATTATCTTTATTGGTTGATAAACTGTTGCACCATTTTGGATTTCAGTGAGCTGAGAATTACCTTCACGGAATGAAATGTGTGGGTATCATTTGCTCATTAATTTTTTCCTAAATTTACATTGTTCTTTTAGAAATTCTCGATGAAGGAGATAGTGACTCAAACACAGACGAAGATGCTGAAAGCAGTGAAGAGGAGGAGGAGGAGGAAGAAGAAGAGGGAGAAGAAGATGAAGAAGGTAGAAGTACAGCATATTTAAATAATACTGTAAAATACTCTGAAATTAATTTAATTCTAATGTAATTCTATAAAACAGTGGTTCTTAATCTGTGGGATTGGGAGGGTTGCACTGGCATCTCCTGGATAATGGATAAGAATGCTGTTAAATATCCCACAAATCACAAGACTGACCCCTCACAACAAAATATTGTTCAGCTCACAATGTTAGTATTGCCAAGGTTGAAAACCTTGCTCTAAGAGTATTAAACAAGGAAATTCATTTTTAACACCAGCATAATTTTAATTTGACATCTTGTGTCTTTGTTTATAAACTGTGAAAAAGGCACATTCATGTTCAGTGGATATAATTTATGTAACCCTGGCATTAATGTGACAGATGAGAATGACTAGATATTTGCTGTTCATTTTGGCAAAATAGACTGGAGAGGCCAAAATCTATGTTTATACAGAAGTGGGCATGATGTTCATCCTTTTCAGCTTTGATTACGTTATATTTCACAGAAAAATGAACTCACTTCTTTGATTCTCAGTTTAAACATCAGAACATGCCTGCACTGGTCACTATTTACTTGTATTACACATTTGAAAATGTTAAAAGTATATCTTTCCCTTTTAGGGCATAACATATTTTTTTTAGTTCTGTCTTAGAGTATAATTGCTCTTCTATAATATATTTTATAAAAATAAGTTTAATTTTTCTATTGTCTTATTAAAAACACCTCACTGTTCATGTATTACATTTTACTTTAGAATTTCTTTGTTTCATGTGAAAATACTGTTCAAACAAAACCGATTAAATATTTAACAGGAAAGTTTTCATGCATTAGATAAGAGAAAATTTTGACAAATGCACATATTTATAGTGGATCCATCCAACTTGTCATGATAATCCCATTGTTCTCTGAAAATGTATTTCTACCCATAAGGTACAGTTTTTCTAAATTAAGAAGAGACTGTTTAGAACTCTAGAAATAATGTTTTGCCACACAACATCATAAGTGCAGCCTTTTAGAGTGTCTAAATGAGCAGGTGGCACAGAAACAAAAATAGTCTTCCTGGCCTGGTTCTGGACTTCTTTGAGGTAACAATCTTATTAAAGTACTGTAAGGTATGCAAAAAACTTGAAATAGTTACTTTGAATTCTACAAAAACTAATTTACACTGTAGAAAATAATATTGTTTTTAAACTCATAGATTCTAAATGTATTAAAATTATTATACAGAAATACATGTTCAGTTTTTCACACTTATTTCTGTAGTTGCATAATTTTGTTATGTTTCTTTCAGGACAAAAGGTGACTATTCATGACAAGACAGAAATTAATCTAGTCTCGTTTCGTCGTACAATTTACCTTGCTATTCAGTCAAGGTAAGATAACTAGTTTAATTGATTCTTGCTTTTGATACCAAATGAAAGAGGGACGCTGGACTCTGGATCTGAGAGTGCCTGTACAGGGGGCCAGCTGAGGGAGGAAGCAGGGCTCTGAATCGGTGGTGTACCCTTCAGGCGCCAGCTGAAGTGGGAGCGTGGACTCTGAATCCCACAGAGCCTGTCCCTGGGGTTGTCACAGATGGGAGGAAATAATAAACCTTTCCAGAAATTTCTCTGTCTGCCAGGAGACGGGGCGGCTCTTCCCTCTAGTGGAGAAGGCTCCAAGCCCCTTTATCCAATGGCTTTTATTGAAAGGGTTGTCAATGGGGCGAGGTAGTAGGAATGTACAGGTGATCTCATTACATCAGTATGCTAATGTTCACAGAGAATAGATAATGTTGAAGAAAACAAATGGCAGGAACACACTGATTTACATGGGTCCGAGAGGAGAACCGAGTGAACATGAGAACGCAAACATAAGAGCGCCAAAGGGATTAGGGTCAGGGTCTTCAAATAATGTAAATTTCCTTCCCAGCATGAGCTGCTTATAGCTTTTGAGGGGAAAACAAAGCATGCTTTAAAGAATTTACTTCTAGGGCTGTCTCCAGTATTATTTCAAGCCTGAGACAGGCAGGGGAAGGGCAAGGCAGACAGGAAATAAGGAGACTTCTTTCAGATAGAATGAGGACCCCGGCCATATCAAAGCCAAGGGATGAGAGTCTTTCACCCTTTCTCTGTGTCCCCCCAAGTTTTTCCCTGATCCTCATTGCAGCTGTGCCTGTCTTATGTTGCCCCTTTCATTGAGGGGTCTCACCCATCATTGACTAACCAACCATCCTCCAGGGCCAAGGGTGATGTGAGGGAGACAGGTTTTGTCTTCTCAGTGGCCTGTTTTCCCAAAGCCTCCTTGATTAGCTCTGGCCTTGGGGCCCTCTCGCCTGTTGGCAGGGCCACAGTTCCTGCAACCAGGTGGGACATTTCCCAGCAGCAAAGTAGCAAGGAGATGGGATTTTTAGAACCTGAGGACAGAAAACTTGATACTAGTTCAGGGATTCTCAAACTACCTTCCTCTATGCCCTTATCCCAAATCCAAGCTGATAGATCCCTGCTATTGGTTCTTTGCTTCAAAAGCAAATTGTGTTTACTTACTTGGAAGGTCTAACTGTGTTACATAATTAAATGTTTGGGGATTTTTTTGTTGTCTGTTTTTTTGTTTGTTTTAGCCATGCCATTTCTTATATTTACATATCACTAATAAAAACCAGAAAACAACTCTATATTACAGGGCTAGCACAGTGTTAAATTGTGTAGTAGAAATTTAATATTTTACCATTTTCTCATTTGTTTTCTAATTCTAGTTCTAAGGAGAGAAGCACTGTTATTTTAACCATCAGACACCAATTTGTTGTACAGATAGAAATGTATATAAATGAAAATAGAAATTAGACTTAAGGTATTTAGGACCCCATGGAGCAATGTTAAGTAAAAACAGCTATCACGTCATGAAAACAAAACATATTCCCTTTGAAGGCTGTGAGTTTGGTTTTGAAGAAAGTAAATGAAAATGTTGAATGTTTAGTACATTTGTTGTTTTGTTGTGAATCAGTCTATTAATGAGTGGGCACAGCGTTTACATTTTACACTGGAGGAAGAATTTGTTTTTGTTACTACGTTTTGAATATTTCCATTTATGTATGATGTAATAGCAGTAATGATTCATAAGTAGGAGTCATCTTGTTTTCAGTCTGTGTGAAAACTTTTTGGCTTAGATTCATCTTAGAAAAGTTAAACAGCAAACATTGGTTAGAAATTTCTTGGTTTACCCTTACCTATTGCTTTGCTTTTCACATAAAAGAAAAACCTATTAAATATTTTTTTTCATGCCGGACTAAAGTGGCAAATGAGAAATCTTTGTTGTAGATAACTATTCTTAGAGTTTGACCGTTCACATGTATGTCCTTTTTTTAGAAATTCAACAGTAATAAGTTGTTACAACAGAGTTATTGTTTTAATATTGCTATTAACATTAACTTTGAAGAGTTACAGTGGAGCTCTTTGAATAATTATTTAAAAGCAACTTCTTCTTTTTATTAAGTTGACCTAACCTTAATAACCTCTGAATCACACAAAAGACTTGAAAATTAAAGCATTAAGACATAGTGACAGCCACAATTATGTAGTGGTACCCATCACAGCAACAACTACCTTATGTATTGGTATTAAGAGTTCTCAGCCTCTAAATGCCTAGTAAAGATAATTTATATATGGTAAAGGTTAGTTTACTTAAAAGTACATACAAATTTTAGGAAATAAACACAGTGACTGACAAAAAGGTATTTAAAGGATATGGTTGAGAGATTCATATAGTGGATTATAAAACAAACATTAGTTATTAGTCATATAACTAACATGTGCTGTTATCATTCATTAAAACAACTGAAGGGGTTTATTTCATTAAAGCAATAGTACTCAGTACTAGTGACGATTTTAGTGAGATACACATAAACAATATTAGTGGGAATTTACATTGATAGACTCTTTATGGGAAGCCTTTCAGTACAAAGAATCAAGGTCTTAGTGTCCATTCCACTTGACCCTTCTTTTTATTATTATATTTCTTAAAGAAATACATATTGACAGAGAATTATATACAGAATCGTTCAGTGCAAAAAAAAAAAAGAGAGAAGCAATCTTACTTTTCAACACAAATAACCAAAATATCCAGTTTATGTCACCATTGAAAATTAGGCTAATGGAGCATTGTTATTGATATGGGCAAGCAGTCTGATATAATATTAGTGGGGAAAAAACTCTATAGACTATATAGTACTGTGCCCATAGTATTATGTTTACTGTGATTAAATGGATAGACAGATTTTAAAAATAATACATTAGGAAAAAAGTCACATCTTTTTAAAACTTTTTTGGTATCACTATGTTATTGAAGTTTGTCAGCTACACTTTAATATTTTAATCTTAGTGCTAAATATAGTTTAATAGTATCTGTTAAAAGCACTTTCCTGATAAATAAGTTTTCCTACAATAATTTTTTTTTCATTTTAGATTTTTAAAAAATTCTATTACACTCTAGCATACTGGGTTATTACCCTGTTGTTTTTATGCAACCCAGTAAGTAACAGGCTGAGAAGTGCAGATGAACTCTAAAACTAAATTCATAATCATTATATTTTAGTTGGTAATTATTTTATACTACTGTTTTTAAAAGAGTGAGTGAGGATTTGAACAGTCTGCAAGAAGTGCAAATATATTAACGTTATTCCTGAGTCAAGTTCACACTGAGTTTGATCATTTTCTTAGGTGAAGCATATGAAAGATATTTTAAATGCAATGAATGTTTGGTAAAAGCAGTTTTTTTTTGTTACTTGGAAGTGATTTTGGTTGGTTGTTATTTTTATACTTAGTTTTTATAAAACGTAGAAGCCCTCTGTTTGGGTATAATCAAGATAATTTGTAAAAATGGTAATTAAGCACTAGATGTCATGTTTGGCTCCTGAGGCATCTTTTACCATTTACTGATTTAGATTAGAAGGAAGTAGAAATAATTTAGTGGTGTAACAAAAATTTAAGACTACTTGCTATTCTTACGGATTTCCTACTCAGGATGGTTTATGTGAATGGAATCATGGTATATGTGTTCTTAATGTGTCTTGTCCTTTTCACTTAGGATAATTTAAGGTCCATCCATATTGTGGTACTGCCTTCATTGTAGAATTAAGAGCTATATCTTTTTTATATATACAATATAATATAAAATTACAACTTAAAAAATATTTAAAACAACTATTAACGTAAGATTCTTGTATGTAAAAGAGTACTGTAACTGCACTGTAAGTGTTTAACCTAACTGTTATGAGCATTGTATCTCTACAGTTTAGATTTTGAAGAATGTGCTCACAAATTGCTGAAAATGGAATTTCCTGAAAGCCAAACAGTAAGTCTTAATACTTTTTTCTATTAAGAAATATATTGGTTATAAAAATATTTAGGACAGTTAATAGGTTTCATGAATTCAAACAACAACTTAGTACTAAATATTATTTAAATGTAGATTTTTCTAAAATTTATAATGAATCAAAGTTTAAAATAACACAAAAAAATTAAAATTTAAAATAAATCGAAACTTAGGAGTCCTGGCATGTTTCATACATGCTACTCCTTCCAATAAATTAAATTGGCTGCGTGAATGTAATGTGGGGAAAGGACGTTGTCCTCTGAACCACTATACTGTATATAAATTTTTGAGTGGTTGCCTATAAATCAAATTGTGGCTTAAATACAGTAGGAAATTTGTTCATTAATGATTACCTGATCCATGAGTAAAGCATTATTTTAGGGTAGAAATTATAAAGATCATTGTACATGGCATTACATTGTTTAATTAGGTATGAGGAATCTGTATCATTTTTTAAAAATTCATTCATAAAAGTGTTTCAGCATATACTCTGTCAGTCAAGGTGTCAGACATTCAATGAATTTAAAAAGTACATATTAGACCCCTTTTAGCCCATAGTACCCAGTCTCATAACTTAGTACTTTACCATTCAAAGTACCATAGAACTCTTATGCCAAGGATAATAAAGACTATATTAAACAGGTTATCTTGGATATTTTTTTTAGTTGTGCTCTTTTGTACGTTCTTGTGCTGGAGTCTATTAGGCTATTTGGTTTCTCTTTCTTTCCAAAGATCTTGACTATCTGAGCTAAGTTACCATTAGCTGTAAGTCCTTTGTCTTAAGGCTTTAAATGTGATATGTTACAGAGATTAGCAGACTAGCCCAGGCCACTGCCCATTTTTGTAAATAAAGTTTTATTGGAATGCAGCCATGCCCACTGGTGGTATATGGTTTCTTTTGCCCTTTATCAGCAGAACTGACTAGGTGCAATAGGTACTGACCATATATAGCTTACAAAGCCTAAAATATTTATTATCTGACCTTTTACAAAAAATGTTTGCCAACCTCTGTTCTAGAATATAGATTTATTCTTAAAATGCTGTAGTAAGGAATTTTGAGAAGAAATTATTCTTTTCAAATTGAAATCATACTTTTTTCTCTCCTAAATTTTGTTTACTAGTATATTAATAATAGTGTACTGTTTGTACTCTAGGTGTACTTGATGTGTTGTCATTGGAAGGAAATAAATTTGTGAATTAACCTTTAAAATTATAATCAAAGCTGAAATTACTGTATGATCTTGTTATATTATTTGAGGAATATAAGTCATAAACTTTATTAATATTAATCTAGAGGATAATATTAGAACTAACCTCAACATATTTTGATAACATTTGGAAGAGTGTCCTAGAGTGTCTTTTTTTATGCACTCAAAAGACTCTCCTTAAACAGCTATAATATTTAATTAAAATGTTAAAATATTTAGTTATTATAAGCCACAGGGAATAACTCTTGTAATTGCATTTAGTCCAGGGAAGAGAGTCATTTGTGTTATAAGTAGTGCTGACTTTATTAGCAATTCTATCAGTGTATTACCATAATACACTGTTTACAATCTGATTAACTCTTATTGTAAAATACAAGGTTAGAAAAGATGACAATGCCTTTCAATATACAAAATTAACATAATAAAGCAGAAGTCAGAAAACCCTCATTTTAAGTTTTTAGTACTATACTAAACTTTGACAAAGTATATCTTTTCAAAACTTATACATTCATAAACACTTAATTGAGGTAACTTACAACCAATCTTTTTAAAAAAATAATAATCAAGATATCTAAAAATTACCCCATATTGTGAAGTGAGACCTTTGAGGAACTCGTTTTATAAGTAGATTATCAGCTTCTAGAACAGTACTGTCCAAAAGAACTTTCTGCAGTGATGGAAATATTCATATTCTACACTGTCCAGTACAGTAGCCACGACTCACATATGGCTTTTGAGTACTTAAAATGTGACCACTGGGACTGGGAAACTAAAATTTTAACTTTATGTAATATTAAGTAATTTAAATTTAAATAACTACATGTGGCTGTAGGCTACCATCCTTGACAGTACAGTTAGAGTATCTGTTCTGTGCTTCTTCAGGGTCCCCTTCCTCTTCCGTAACATAAATATATGCAATAAATATGTATTAACCTAATTTTTAAATGTTTACAATATTAGGTTGTATCTTGTGTTACTAAACATGACAAAATGTCAAAATTGCTAATTAAAAATATAAAGATAAATTAAAGTAAAAATGAACTGAAAAGGTATACATTATATTTTATAAGCTAACTTTCTGTTTATAGAAAACAAATACATTGTAGTTAAGATACTTAGAAAAAATAATTTTAAACTTTTAATAAGCTTTTGTAGAAAAAGATACTTAGTCAGTTTTACAGCAGTGGTCATAATGAATGTATGTCTTTTTTATTTTGTCTCCATTGATTTGTCCATGTTGCCTGAGTTTTTTTCATCTATGAAATTGCTATAATCAATCCATATTTCATTAGGATTATTTCAGGAATTAACAGACAGCATTTGTTAATTATAAATCAGCTATTTTCTTATCCTTGATTTACTCCTGGGTTTAGTTTTTTTGGACTTATTTTTTTCTGGTCACTTTTTTTTATTGTTGTTTAAGTACAGTTGTCTCCATTTTCCTGCCACCCCTTTCCTTCACCCCCCGCCCGCCCCATCCTCCCACCCTCAATCCTTCCCCCCTTCGGCTTTGTCCCTGCATCCTTTACACATGTTTCTTGAAGACTCTTTTATTCCTGGGTTTATTAATTTAACAGATTTTCACAGAGGAGTTTTCAAGGCATACAAATAGCTGATTAGACAATATATTATCTCAGCAGTTATGAAATGATTCCATCTATTTGTATATATTAAGCTATAGACAGATCTATATGCCTAACTTTTATTTTGAGCCTAGAAAATTCAGCCACAGAGATCTTTTTCTTTGTTCTTTTAAATATATTTTTTCTTTAACAACTAGAGTGTCATATAAGTTGATATTGTAGCTTGTGCCTATTTATGGTTCTGTAAAGACTCATCGTGTTCTGCCTTTTCTTTACTATTTATATTTCTTAATAATTGAGTTTAAATTTTTGAAGCGTATATAACTGAATTGTTAGATATTTTGCAAGTTATCATATTGGTGACCTATATTTAAGAGAAATCTGTATGGAATCTTTTTTTTTTTTTAATTTTATTTTAATTTATTTTATCAAATACATTTGTCTCTGCCATCCCCCCACCACTTTTGGAATCTTTTTAGATTACAGTTTATTTAATCTTTTTTTGATGTGTTTATTTCATATACTATGTTCTCTTAAAGTGGTTCATACTTATATAAATTTAGAATTTTATAATCAATCCAATTACCATGAATGATATATGGAAACTGTCAGCCAGACTGAAGGCTTTTAAAAACTACTCTTAGCATAGATTTTTAAAAAATTTTTGTCTTAATCACTGAAGTTCTGAAAGTCCTAGAAGTTTTGTGTTTTTAAAACCTTACTTAAAATTTTAGGCTATCATATTGGTAAGTAATCATACAACATGGATATATTGTGTTTTGAATTATTATTGCAATTTTTTTTCCAAATAGAAAGAACTCTGTAACATGATACTTGATTGCTGTGCTCAACAAAGAACATATGAGAAATTTTTTGGCTTGTTAGCTGGGGTGAGTGCCAGCCTCTTTTTTCTTGTTGGAATTTAATGGAGTCACTAAAGGAATTCTTAACAGGAATATTGTGAATTAATGTGTCTGCTTTTTGGTCTGGACTGATATAATACCTTCGCTAAATGTAAATTGTTCTTCCTCAGGTTTCCCACTCTCTGCACCTTCCTTCTTTCCTTCTTCATTTTTGTAGTCCCTTACCATTGCATATCACTCTTCCAGAACTTTTTGAAACTCTACATGCCTTGTAAAAATATTCTAAAGAGGACAATTAAATGCTGTCTTTCTGAAATCTGAAGGTGGCTTCTGAATTCAAGTGCATGTTTAGGCAGCACGAATAGAGCATAAGCTAAAATAATTTTTTAAATCAAACTCTACCTACAGAGAAATATATCTGTATAGTATACAGATGTATGTGTCTATGATTTGTATAATTTGTGTAATTTGTGTCATTATGCTCTGTATAATTGTGGCTTATAAATTCTAGATAGATAAGGATAATACATATTAATTTCTTTCTTGAGCCTCCCATCATATAGCACAAAAAGGTATGATATAGAAAATAGTTTTGATTCAATAAACCTAGAATGATTTAATATGCTTATAATTGTATCGATACTCAATTTTTAATGGTACTGACTTTTTTTTATTTATTAGCGATTTTGCATGCTAAAAAAAGAATACATGGAATCCTTTGAAAGTATATTCAAAGAACAGTATGATACCATCCATCGTTTGGAAACAAACAAATTGAGAAATGTTGCTAAGATGTTTGCTCATCTTCTCTACACTGACTCACTTCCATGGAGCGTAAGTAGATGGAGGTCAATGTTAATACTTCTTAATTGTTATTCTTAGATTTGTATTAAGAATAATATAGCCATACTTCTCCTTCATAGGAAATGTACTGCAAAATGAAATTGTGGCAAACTTTTACTATAATAGCTATCTTTGAGTTTATGTTCATATAACATGGTGTCAGAAAACTAAGAGAATAAACATATGAGAGTAAGAAATACCATTTTGGATGACACTGGCATTTCAAACATCATGGTGCTTTTTAAAAACATGGCTATGAGTTTTTTCATGGAAATTATTATAGGTTTTTATCTTTGTACACATGCATGTGTGTGCACTCATATTAATGTACACCAGAATTTGGTAATAACTTATTGCTGAGTTACTGCTTGTTTCATAAGGGACTATCAGTGCTTCCTCCAGTTAGGACATGAGAGAAATGTTTGTCCTAGCAGGATGTTCTTCTTAACTGATACTAAATTTGGGTAAGAGATTGGGAGGAGTTCCTGCCACAGTTAGAACAAGGGAAGATATTCTTAATGAGGCAACGTACACTGGATTAGAATTTGAAGTGCATTCATTAAGCTGGCATTTTTTTACAACTACTGTACATTGAACAACCATTTATTTAGCTACCAATAGAAAGAAATTGTGTTCAGGAGGAAAGAAAGAAAAGGATCACATTGTAGAATACCAGAATCTAATGGAGAAATGAAGCCACACCATTGAACTTAAAAACAGTGGATAGCTTTTTGTTATATTTTAAGTACTAAGTATGTCCAGCTGCATTAATAGGCATTTTGTAAGCTAATCTAGGAGCCAGATCAAAATATTTTTTTTACTTATTTTTTTCCGTTTTTGGGAAAATGAAATTAAAGTTTTAAACCATTGAAGCAGAGGGGCTCCTGAAACACACAACTCCACAAACTGAAGGTTGCTTTTATTTTTATTTATTGTTAAATGTCTATGAGCTTCAGTGTCTAAGCCTCAGTCTTAGTATTCAGGATAAGCCATTTCTCTTTCTGTCTTTACCCTTATGGTGTATTATATGTGCTAAACGACACTAGAGCCCGATGCTCTAAGTGGCATTTTACCTCAGACCCTCATATACCCACATTTTGATGAGTAAGGTTTAGGAGCTAGTAATCTTTACTTCAGCATTATGTACTCACGACAATATATCCCTGCTATAAAAAGCACATTACTCAAGAAAGAGAATGAACTCTATTTCTGCAGCATCTTAACATTTTTTAAATTAGCACAGAGCAGCAGTCTTAAACTTTGTCAAGAAATATAATACACATCAGTGTAAGGGAAGATATTCAGAGATAATTCTCATTGGAAATGAGACTAAATCATAATTTCAAAAGGAACTTTGAATTACAAATATTGGTCACTTTGTACAAATATTACCTTCTTTTTCTTATAAATTTCAGGTTCTTGAATGTGTAAAGTTGAGTGAAGAAACCACTACGTCCTCCAGTAGGATTTTTGTTAAAATATTTTTCCAAGAACTGTGTGAATACATGGGTCTTCCTAAACTTAATGCAAGATTAAAGGATGAGTAAGTTTATCATTAAGCACTTTTAATTCTACTGTCCTAAAGGGGTTTCCTTCACGTTAGGGACATTTCTACCCTTGATTGTAAAACAAGAGTTAAGCACCTATGACTTTTCTTCATTAGTTAACTACTGTGAATCTCATATCCTGTGGGTTAGGACAACATGAAGTTTTTAATGATGGTTTTTAGTTCAGTAGAGGAAACACAGAATTAATGCCTCTTTTAGTTTAGTTAAAACACAGAAAATTATTTTTTTATGCTCACTGGAGTTCCTCAGTGATGAGTATTTATAGTTTTATTTTCATTTTTACCCTAAGTTTGAGCCATAGAATGATAGCTTCTTATTATCATAGACAATTGTAAATATATACAGATGAATTTGTAATGTAATTGTTCAAGTCATTGCACTGAACTAGGGTCTTGTCTTAGGACTGTTATGTAATATCTATTACTGCTTTTTTTGCTATTTTATTCAGGTTACTGATTGCCATTCACTCATACTGCCTTCTACTCCATTCACATTACTGAGGTTACCCTTTCAAATCTCTTAGTGACTGCTTGCCAAGCAAATCGAGTTGTCTTTCTCAGTCCTCATGTCCCTTGAATTCTCAGCCTCACTCACCCAGTTGACCACTCGCTCACTGTGGCTCCTCACTTTCTTCGCATTCTACCTTACCCTCCCCAGTCCCCCATCCTCTCAGCCTGCCTCTCCAGTGCACGCCTGCTATCTGGAGCTCTCCGTGCTCTCTCTGCTATCCCATCCACTTCCCTTGGCCTTATAAACTCATGAATTGGCCCCTGCCCGCTTTACGAGACTTCCCTAGTAAAGCCGACTCCAGCGAGCTGCGCTCCAGCCACCCCCGCACGGGGCAGCTTGTTAAGCAGGCCTGGCTCATTCATGCCTGTTCACCTCTCTTCCAAAGCTGGAGATCCCTCTCTTGTTCTATCCAGCTCTATCCAGCAAGCTCTTTATCATTCTTATTTGTTACCTTTTTCTATAGAACAGTTTTTCCTGACTGCTGCTTAGTCATTCACTATGGCAGTCAAAACCACATTATATTGTTAATGGTTTTTGTTCCCCTCCCTATAAGTAATAATTATATTATATGCAATCAGTAAACATGAATACATCATAAATAAACATAATCTCTCCCTTTTGTTGATTACTTCCCCCTCCCCGAGTGCCTCACACAGTGCTCTTTGTGCGCGCACGCGCGCGCACACACACACACATACATACACACACACACACACACAAAATGGTATTTTTTACTTTTCTGAATATACATTCACATATATGCACATTTGTTTGTTACATATATCCATTCTCCTTGTGTGTGTGTGATGTATGTAGTTTTTAAAAACCTCTTGTGTAATTACACAAATCAAGTTTAGTAAATTATGAATGGACCCTACTCATTTCATTTAGATACCATGTAGCCTAAACTAATAAGTTACATAAATCATTTACTTGGTTGTGTTTTATATACTAATTTAATACATAGAAAATCTAAACAGTAACTGTGTAAAAACTTTGCCTGTAAGCAAAGAATTTTATCTTTTAAGCAATCTGTTTCCCTTTGGTCATTTTCTTTTTTTCTTTTTTTTTCTTTTTTTTTTTTTAGAACCCTACAGCCATTCTTCGAAGGGTTATTACCCCGAGATAATCCCAGAAACACTCGGTTTGCCATCAACTTTTTTACTTCGATAGGTCTTGGAGGTTTAACGTAAGGATTTTCAGAATTGTATTTTCAATTTACAAAATTACCTCACAATTGCCTTCTAAGCAAAACCTAACAGAGATTACATTTTTAATTAGGGATGAATTACGTGAGCATCTCAAAAATACACCAAAGGTTATTGTGCCACAGAAACCAGAAGCTGAGCCAGATAAATCCTCTTCTTCCTCTTCTTCCGCGTCCTCCTCTGCGGAGTCCGACTCCTCTGCTTCGGACTCAGACAGCAGTGACAGCAGTTCAGAGTCTTCCAGCGAAGAGAGCGATTCTTCATCTGCCAGTAGTCAGAGCTCTGCCTCAGGTATTGAATCTCATAATCGATCGTGCTCTTTTCTAATAAGTCTATTGCTGGTGATGTTTACAATGAAAGAAGTAAATAATTTGAATTTTTTATTTTAGAGTTCAGTTGTTTAAAAGCCACAATTAATAACATGAATGATCATCTGTCACTGTTGCAGCCTATTGCAAATTATAACATTTGCAATGCTAAGATTATCTTTTGAAAGCCTTTTCATAGAAGTGAAGACATTTCATACCATCCATAATGTCTGTAATCTAGTTTATAGGAGCTTTCCTGATAATTACATTTTAAGAAATTTTGGTTTTTACTTTTAATAGGGAAGCTTTATGGTAGTTCCTGACTTGTATCACACGTTTAGTGCGCATCTCATCAGTGTACAGCTGTATAGAGAACACATCCATGCAGCTGGCACCCAGAAAAGAATGACCAGCACCTCAGGAGTCCCCCTTGTTTCCTCTCCCAGTTACTACCACTGCTCCCATTCACTGCCTCATGGCAGCTGCTGTTCTGATTTGTAATTCCATAAATTAGTTTTGTCTTTTTTAACTTTATAATTATGTATTATGAACTTAACGTCTTGCTTATCTTTCAGAATTGTTTAATGAAATTCATCCATATTATTGCATTTATAGTTCATTTATTTTTCTTGCTGAATAGTTTTCCACTACATGAATATACCTCAGGATATTTAACACCCTTTTTACTTAATGGCAATTTAGATATAATTCATGTTCCCATGAATACTCTTGCACATATGTTTTGGTGACTGGACACAGATGCACTTCTGTTACTTATGTATTACCTAGAGATGGACTCACTGAGTTTTAGGTTGTGTGGCTATTTAGCTTTAGGAGATGCTACCGAACGGTTTGCTGAGTGGTTGTTCCAGTGTCCGCCCCCATCAACCGAGTTTGAGAGTTCCCCTTAGAGCTTGTCCTCACTACCACTTTGCTTGGCCATCATTTTCATTTTAGCCTTTCTGGTCAATGAGTATAGGCATTGCATTTTGGTTTTAGTATGTATTTCCTTGATCACTAATGAAGTTGAGCACCATTTTATATATTATTGGCTATTTAGAAATGTTTTTTTTGTTAAGTGGCTGTTCAAGTCTTTGCCCATTTTTTTTTTATTGTTTTTTTCTCTTGATTTTTAGGAGTTTTTCAGTATTCTGGACGTATATCCTTTGTCTTTATATTCTTGTCTCTCCGAGATTGCCAGAGCTCTGCTGGTCTGCCCTTCAGCAGCAGCCAGGACCAGCAGACGCTTGCAGAGAGAGTGGCTGTGGAATGTCAGTTTACTTCTCTCTGTTTCTGCCTTTTCTTGAGTCTTGACTCTTCTAGTCCTTATTTCTTCACCAGCTTTCTGATGCCTTTTCTTTTTTACTTTTTATTTTGAACTAATTTTCCACTTATAAGAAGGATACAAAAATAGAACAGAGAATTTCCATACAGCCCTCACCCAACTTTCCCTAAAGTTAGCATTTTACATAACTGTGGTTCACTTATCAAAACCTGGAAATTAACACTAGACCAATACAATTAACCAAACAGCAGATCTTAATAATTTTGCATTTCTCAAGTTTTTCTCCTCTAATGTTCTCTTTCTTGTTCCAGGTTGCTACTAGGCATTTAATTGTATTTCTCCTTAGTCTTCTACAATCTGTAATTAGTTCCTCTCAGGCTTTCCTAATGGTTTTGACAATTGAAGTCTTATGATCACTTGTTTTGTAGAATGTCCTTCAATATGGAGATATGTCTGACATTTTCTCATAATTAAAATGGAGTTATGCATCTTTGGCTAGAACATAGAAGTGATGTGTTCTTAATCATTGTTGACATTAACTTTGATAACTTAGTTAAGTGATGTCTAGAGGATTTCTTCATGGGAAGATTTTTCCCTGTAACCTGGGTCTTGTAGGGAGATAATTTGATACTGTGCAAAATCTCTTAACTTCTCATCTCCAGTTTTAGCATTCATCTTTGCATTTCGTTGGAACACGTATTACTGTGGTGTTTGCTGAATGATAATTTTTTTTTCTATTTGTCTCTTTTTTTTCTCCATTTAGTAATTGAATTTCTTCTGTAAGAAAGAGTTGGCCCTTCCTCCCATTTATTTAATAATTTAACTATACATATTATCACTGTGGATTCATGGATGTTTATCTTACTCTGTGGACTAAAGTCCAATACTATCATTTATTTTGTTGTTCAGATTATTTCAGCTTTGGCAATTAGGAGTTCCTTGAAGTTAACTCCTATGTTCTTTGGATATACCCCTAACCTTGTCTTGAGCACTGCCACCTTTTATAGCATCTAAGGTTGTCCAAGATCTTTATCGCCTTTAAGCAGAAGATTTAAATTTATGTCCAGCATTTCTAGTTGATTTTCAACAAGAGCACTGGTCTTCCACAGCATTCTCTATTCTACTTGGAACTGGAAGTGCTATGGTAAAGGATTTTTTTCAAATGTCCCATTTTCTGAAAAGGTCTATGTTGTTTTCTGCAGGGTCACCTCTGCTTTCTTTCATTATAGTATTTTAGTCTGAGTTAGAGATAGTCTAATTGTATAAAATGCATAATACTTCTTTTTTAATGCATATTTCAGAGAGGAAGCACTTCTTCCTATAGCCTTAGAAAGATGGAAGCCTTGTCTTTTTATTCTTATTCCCTGGACTGTTACACTTTGAAGTGTTTTACATACTATGTGGCAGCCAGATCTGTGGGACTCTCAGTGTTTTATATTATTAGAGCAAGATTCCATTTACTCACAGGAAGTCGTCTTCTTGAATTGAAATACGCTAACATTGTTCACTTAACATTCACCTCTTAATTCTCAAGAATTTGTTATTTCATGATCTGTTTTGAGAACAGATGATAACACAGCATGATTGCTGCAATAAGGAGGCTTTGCTGGTTCAAAATTAATTTGTCTCATCATACAATTTCAATAGAGAGCTTTCAGTTTTATTAATAAAATATTAAATAGCATAAAAGCAGGATGAACTGTTCCCGTATTGGAAAATTGTAAAGCAGACACCAAAGAGAGAGGAGATGGCATATGATTATATGGCACAGGTTTTAGTGTCAGCAAACCGCTGAGAGCGGAGCAGAGCAGTGTCAGAGACGTTGACTTAGCACAGAGCCAGATGGTTTCTGCTTGGGTGGCTGCAGTTCAGCTGAGCTGCATGATCAGAACAGAGAAGTAAGTCCTCAGTGGCAAACCAGCTGACTGTTCAAGGGTAGGCATTTGGCAGAGGAAACACAGGTTGTACAGTGAGATTTTGGTGGAGGTAGGATGAGAGTAGGTGGTCTTCTACCTTCTTTTCTTCTTTCTGTACACATACAGAATGTGACAAAAATTTTGGTCATTTTAGCACCTTTGACATATATCCAAACTAAGTAACACAAATGAAACAACTAAATTTGTTTTATAGCTGAAAATGGTAAGTTTTTCACTGTAATTATTTATTTATATATGTGGTTACACCAGTAAAGTTAAATTGTTCAAGGCCTATTTAGAAGAGTTTTCTCAGAAATCAAGCCTTAGTGGCTCTTATAAAGCCTGTGATGATATCTTAGTGTAGCTTCTCCTGGTGGTACAGTTAGTACTTCTCTAACAGCACTGAAAGTAAAACTGCTGTTTTCTAGGAAGAGGTATTTATTAGAAATATACGTATTTATGCTGTTAAGCAAACCCAGCTGTCCCAGTCCCTCTCACCTATGGGAAGTGATGTTGCTGGTGTGTGTGATCACTATATTTTGATTAGGTACCAGAACTGACATATTTCATATGATATAATGCACATGGACTGGAATTACTGTTTTTGAATAAAATTTGTAAGGGGAAATGTATTATAGTCATTTCATAAAAGATTTTACATTTGTTGTAGTTAAAAGTTTCTGTTCATGGTTTTGAGTCTATAGATCAAAACAATACTTTAGTAATTAATGTTGACATATTGTGTGCTCTTAAAATTTTTGTGAAATGTTCTGTCAGACTTTTTGTTCAGTCATTTTGGCTTTGCATCCAGTTTATCTGACTTAGTAAACTACATTATATTAATAAATGTGATTGTTAAATTATGAAATTAAAGCTAACTATATTTCATCTTACATATGCAGCTAAAGATATAAGAAAGAAGGGACAAGGGAACACCAGAAGTAAAGAAGTAGATAAATTGATCAGGAAACAACAAACAAATGATAGGAAACAAGATGAAAGATCAGAGTCAAGGCACCAAGAAACAAGGACTGAAAGAGAAAGAAGATCAGAAAAACTCAGAGATAAAAATTCAAGGGATCCAAATTGGAGAGATCCCGTGACAAAATATGCTTCAGACAGAGGTGTTCCTTCTGACCGAAATAGTTACAGTAGAGTCACAAATGACAGAGACCAAGAAATGCACCCAGATTTGGAAAATAAGTATGGTGATCCCAAAAAGAGGAGAGGAGAAAGAAGAAATTCTGTTTCTGAAAATGAGCATAGACACCGAAATAAGGACAGTGAAAATTTTAGAAGAAAAGACAGATCAAAATCAAGAGAAAAGAATAGAAAACATTCAGACTCCAGAAGCGATGAAGATAGGTATCAGAATGGTGCCGATAGGCGATGGGAAAAATCTAGCAGGCACTCTGAACAATCTAGAGAATCAAAGAGAAACCAGGACCGGCGAAGAGAAAAGTCTCCAACAAAGCAAAAAAAATAACTGTACAAAATTACAGAAACTCAACATGCCTTATATTCAGTCGAAACAAATTATTTTTTACATTGATTAACGAACTTCAAAAGAATTCTTGTATAAAGTACTGGTTTGTATTGTACATTTAAAAAATGCTTTCATTTTAACATGGTTTATATAACTGATACATTTTAAGGCCCTCCACATAAAATTATTTGAAAAGTTTCACTGGAGAGGGATGTAATTCTTGCATATATTTTGTTAATAAAATGATTAAATAAACTTACTGAATCGGTGATTTTTTTTCATTGACAAAAAGTTTTTTTCTCATGTTTTCTGTTGTCATAGAACTATTATAATTATTACTGGCTTTTTATTTGTAACTGAAGACCAAAATAAATGAAGCATTTCAGTGTAACATTTTTACATTGTCAATGAGATGCTATGAACCATCTCTGGGAGTCACCTTTTTTTTTTTTAATAGAGCAGTTATTTCATGTGTCATATTTTGTCTTGAACAAAAGTACAGGTTGTTTTTCACAAATATTTTGGTGAAGCCACGTGTGTATTAGTCTTTCAACAGATACACGGCTATGTTATTTATAATTAGAACTTCTCTCATTTATAACATTTCCTCTTCCTGGACTGCTAAATTAATGTTTAATTGAAATTCTTTGTGACTAGTGCTTTTTCTCAGCCTTGAAGTTATATCGTTGTTGGTGAATTACGTTCCTGATTTTTTATTTGCATTAATACGGAATTGGAAAACAACAGTCATGAGAAATGTGAACAGCCTAACTGAAATAATTCCAACTTTTTATAAGAATTTTAAGAGTTTCTATCATTGTAACTCTAACCAATTATTATGTGACCATATTATTTATTACTTTTGAAATAAAATATTGCCACTGAAATTTTAGATTTGTTGACAGACATTTAACCCTACTTACTAATAGACTACTTAGTGTTTGTTCACTTTAAAAGTTTATAAAATCCATTTTACCCCATGTCTGGGTTCAAGAATAATGGGACCACCGTCTTAATGTTTGGTTTTCAGGCATACTCTGATTCAAAATGTTTTCTGTTTTTGTTGTTTAAAAGCTTGAGTAAAAGTTAAAATAAAGTCCATGTAAATAAAGAAATACTATCCTCTCCTCCAACCCTCCTGCCTTCCCCACATTCTACTTATTTGGGTTTTTTTGCTCCTCACTGTTTTATTTACTATTAACAAAAGCAGTTAACAGAACACCTAACTACCTTCAGGCCGAAGTGTTTGAGTGTGAGTGACTCAAATCAGGACTCAGTGACTAAGAAGTAGAGTGCAGAGCAGGATCGTTCTGCCATCCTGATGCATTTCTACAGCATCAAATGCAGTGCGTTCACATGCCCTGGCTTCCAGTCAGGCCGATTTTTCACTTCAGTCCTTTTAATATGCAGACAAGAAACGTGTTGCCTGTATTTCTAATATTTTACTTTTTAGGATTAGCATTTCTAAAGGATCATCTGAGTTCTAGATATTTTGCATACATTTCTCATTCTTTTTCAGTTCCTCAGCTTCCTTGCCTCTGAGGTTTTTCTATCCCTAATACATTCTTAGCCACCTACTCCCATGGTTATTTATTTCCTTTATGTTGACTTCACAATCTATACCACCTCTGAAAGCTCTCCTATAAGTATCTCATTTTGACCACTGCCCATCCAGCTCACCTGCTTTAGTACTGCTGTTCTCAGAATCTTTCTCATTTTATCAAAGCTTCAGGTCTGTTCCCTCTATTTTCATTAGTTACCCACCACCCCACTGCCATTTCTTTACTTCCCGTGTTCTGTGTGGTCCATCATTTGAATGGATGAATAAACAGAACAACCCTATGAAATTTGGCATTGTCTCTTCATACTACAGAGGAAGAGAAAAAAGTCGAGAGAGGTTAATTGGGCTCAGACCACAAAGCTGGTAAGAAGTAGTAGGACCAGGTTTTCACCCAGATCAGCATCATTCCGAAGCACAACTGGAGGAGGGAAAGAAGATTGAGAGTATTTGAGTTCCAGCTCTGACACCTATGCAGGTGTGTGAACTTGGGCAAATTGTTTCACCTCTATGACCTTCACATTCATCTTTAAAATACAGGTGGGCCCTGGCTCACTTGGAGTGTTAACCCATACCCCAAAGTGTGCGTTGGATACCTAGTCAGGGCATATACCTAGGTTGGGGGTTTGATCCCTAGTTGGGGTACATACAGGAGGCAACCAATCAATGCTGCTCTTGCCTTCTCTCTGCCCATCTCCACTTCTCCCCTCCCCCTCAAAAAATCAATAAAGACATGCCCTCAGGTAAGGATTTTAAAATACAGAGGTGGGAAAAAATAGGTTTACAGTTCAAAATAATACAAGAATAAACTTTTGCATGCTCATATTTGTTGCATTTCCCATAATGAACAACTATAAACCTACCTTTGCCCACGCCTGTATTGTGCCCACCTTGCACAGTAGCAGTAATACTGTAAGTGAAGTGATGCAGTGAGAGGCCCGTAGTAGTATGTAGTATGAAGTGGGCATTTAGTGAACATTAGTTTTATTTTTTTCCCAGAATGCAACAAAGACTTAGAAGAAAATTCAAGCTCATTAACCGACTCATTCTGATCGCTTTGTTTCATTCAGTCTGAAACTACTTTGTAAAGAAAGGGATGGGGGGCGGTCTTAAGGTAGCTACACAGAATGAATGGATTTTTCTGAAGTCACTAATGAAGAACAATCCTTCATCACTTTTCTCCTATCATAGTACTTCTTCCCCAGATGTATGTGAGTATAGTCTTCTAGCTCAAGCCAACTGCTTCTTACACCCATGATTTCACATTTCCCAAGTGTGTTGTCAGAAAGAAAAGTTCTGGTCATCTATGACAGGAGTGAAGTTTTGATTCTTGACTTCAATAATTTGTTTACGCCATTTTCATCTTGACTCAACTGATGTGTTTTTTTCCTAATTCACATCTACCTCATACTTTTATGCTTTCCAGCACCAGCATTAGACCCCAGATGCTTTTCCCCCCGATTCTCACTCTTTCCAAGGCAGGCAAATACCCTGTCTGATATTTCAGATTCTCTCATTCTGTTCCACGTTTATTCCACTGAATGTTTCTTCAGTCAAGCAACCTTTACATCCACTGGTAATTGCGGAGAGAGCACAGAGTGCCCAGGGTGACCTCTAGGAAACCTCTATTTAACATACACATCCTCACATACACACTTCCAAACCCTAACAAACACTTCCTAGTGGTTTTCCTGGCTGTTTTTATTCTGATCCCTTGTGTCCCCTCAACCTTGGATATGCTCTACAACTTCCGTTTATACCCACCCACATGTTTCTTTTTAAATCTTTAAAAACCTTTGAGTACATTGCATATGTCAAGTTAGAACATACATTTCTTGAAGTTCATCCTATCTATGCATTTTATGTTTTCTGCAGATAAGAGTGAGGGCTAGTTTCTACCACTACCACATGCCCTCCCCGACCTCGCAAAGGCCATGCCTTCTGAAGAGAGGTGAAACTCTTGCAGTCACCTTAGGCCAGAAGAACACAAGGTAGAAGAAAGAAGATAGCTACTCAAAGCCACGTAGGGGTGTGCATGTTTGTGCACACATATACCCCAGGAAAGCCCAGGTCTGGCTGAGGTAGAGATGCTTACTTCTAGAAAAAGACCAGATTCATATGCAATCATTTATTACCATTTAATTTGAATATTTGGGGGCTGACTGCATATTTACATTTGACTGGGTTTTTATCTCATCCATCCTACTTGCTGGCTGTTGACTTTTGGGCAGGTCTTTGAACTTCCATGTCTGCTTTTTCATCTGTAAAATAGTATATTAATAATGACTCCCTTAAAGAATGAATGACCTCTGTGTCTTGCTTAGAAGAAGGCCTGGAACGAAGTGCTCAATGTGCTGTTATTACTGGTACTTTTTTTATTGTTATTGCCATTAAAGTGGACATAGTGCCACCAGATCAGGAATTGCAAGCTCAAAACACCTGGAGGGACCAGGTAGAGAACGCAAATGAGGCCAATTGAATTGGGTAGCGAATTAGAGTCATTTAAAGGCAGCAACCATTGCTCACCTCCATCCAGTTGTGCCTGTAGAAAAGAAGGCTGGCTGAAGGCTGATAAATCTGCCTGGTTTTCAAGAAAATTCACGAATCAGAACTTTTGTGTATATTCTTATTTTTAAATGTAGACAATGATTTTTTAAAATTTAAAGCAGCTCAAAATTATACATCCTGAAAAGTGATCTCTACAGGTAAATAAGATTTTGAATAACTAGTTTGTCCAGACCATCCAAAAATATCACTTAATTTTGCAGTGACACTATTTGTTATGCAAAGAAAATCATTTTCACTCCTATTCTTTATTATAGTGGAAGAGTAAGACCCTTCATCTTTCTTGAGAAAACATCCTTACTTTGCTAACCTCAGCAATCTCCTCTAGCTAAATTGCTGTAAAATTTCTGTCAAGTTGTAGTTCTCTACTTAATGTATTCGAAATACAGTTTATTTTCTCTCAAATCATGTTTTCTAAATTAACTAGAACTGAGTCCACCGATTTCCCATCCCTTTTGAGTTTTCAAAGCTGTTTCTCTGTCCCCACATCACCAAATTCTATCAATATTGCTCTGGGGAACCTTCGGTATATGCTTCCATCTTCCCACCCACACTGTCACCGCCTGGTTCTGGCCCTTGTTCCTTTGTGGCTGGATTTGACAGTTGTTTATTGACCATCTAATGTGTGCCAGGTACTGTTCTGAGGATATAACAGTGATCACACAGAGAACTTGTTTTTCATTGAGCCTAAATTCTTGCAGAGGAAAACAGTTAAAAAAAAAACAAAACCTTACAGTACTTTGAAAAAATAAATGTTAGCTATTCAGATGAGCCAAAAGAGTTGTGCAATGACCACCTGTAGTATCCACTCAGATTCGGATTAATCTAAAGATTTATTTTCATCCTGTCACTTCCTTACACATCGAGGTCCAATGACTCCTCTAGCGCAAGGGAGAAATGTAAATCCCCAGCCTGTTTCTTCACCTTCAACCTGTCTCTCAATATTTGTTCCATGAGCTGCATCCTTTGAACACTACTATGTAGCAGGTATTTTAGAATACCTAGTTTTTATAGCAACAGCTGTAAGGCATGAGAAATCCTAATTTTACAGGTCTCATGCCAGCATCTACCTAGCTAAAACATGGCAAAGCCAG